TATGTTTACCGAAGGAAAACATATTGTTTTTACTCAGTTTCTTCCTCCTCCTCTTTTGTTCCAAACACTAACCTCTGACCTGGCCAATGACATGATTTGTTGACATCTGTCACCATGGTAACTGGTGTTGCGTTATGTAATGTGGCAATTTCATGGTCTGCTCTACTCCTGTCACCATATACTCCTAGTACATGTGAATGTGTTTGAGTAAAAATTAACAGGGCAGACCATGCCATGTCCAAAGGTACATGTAAACATTATGTATTTGCTTTGCAAATGTTACTTCTCTAGTTAATATATATGTTCATGTTTGTAATCTGTCTATGATCAGTCCCACACCCACTGCCATTAAGTCATACTCAACAATGCTTTAAAATTGATGCATTTCTAATCCTTCATTGCCAAGTTTGAGTGACAGTATGTTGAGGTACCGGGGTATTTAGCACCCTTCAAAAAGTTGTTTGCCCTCATCCCATGTTTGTCCTTGAATGCTTTTGACAGTCACTTCACAGATGGTGTCATGGCTTATGTTCACATTTGAAAATCTGTCAATTACAAAACTGTATCAGTCCCCCATCTGATTGACGTCATACTCAGCAGTTCTGTTACCTGGAAAACCTTTTAAATTTCAAATCCTTCATTACCAAGTGGCAGGGGGTTAGCACCTTAAACTTCACAAAATCATTGTTCATCCTTGCATATGTGTGTCCTCGAATCCCCTCGACAATCTGTCAGTGTCACATCACAGGAACTGTTTCTTGCAAAAGTTTTGGGACTTTTCTGGAACACAGTCTGTCAATATCACTAGTCTTGCAGGCAGATGGCGTCAGCTATTACATCCAACTTTCATGTCCCACCTAAGTTCTTGATAGCATCTTTCATACCTCAAGTCAAGCTTTTGAGGTGTACTGTAAGACCTGATTTTGATAAGACAAGAGCTGCCATGCATTTCAATGTGGTCGTTTGAATTTTGATTTGTAAACTGATTTTTTTTGTAACATTTGTAACGTCTATTTCATGTCACATTTTGTACAGTTTGGATGGATGGATGGATTTATTGTTGTACAAACAATGTTTTGTATGGATTTGAACACAATAACACACACAGACTTTATGATACGGTAAGGCAAAGGGCTGTCAACCCCTCCCTGCAGTATGCATACAAAGTCTTTCTACAGAAACAGTGGGAACTTTGCTGTGCTGTGTCACAAGGTTTATGATATCCCTGGGCTTTTCTTGCCCTACTTCTTTATAAGGGGTTACTGTCGGTCATCAGTGATAGGAGTAGAGACTGCAATATTACATAGAAGTGTTTGAACAAGATGAGGGTTGGTTACTATATTACACCTGTCCAGTGTAACACCTCAGACCTTGAACTTTGTCTTCCTACAACCTACATGTACATTTTGGACCAACATGCCAAATATCATCACAATCCATAAAGGCGTTCTGAAGTTACGCTGACTACAAATGTGTTGAAACACACACAGACGCAGACAGACACACAGACAGACAAACTAAAAACAATACCTTCATTTTTCATGGAGGTAATAAGGAGCAGTCAAACTGGACAGATTCCAACCTGACCAAACAACTCTACTTAACTCTACCCTACTCTACTTTATAACTTATATGTTATACCGTACAATTTTGTGGCAGATACAGCCTGAGGCATGTAATTAGGTCTATAGCCTTATCATGAGGCTTTACTTTTTGACTCAGTAAATTGTTATCTCTTAAGACTTTTTCAAGGTTAATTAGACTATTGGCAGAGTTTCTTGGAAATAGAAGCTTAGTAACGAGTTAAAGTACTGGTACTAGTGGTAGTCAATTTAAACTTTTTACAGTCCAATACAACTTTATACAATGTAACTGACATTCCCTGACCTCCCATATGTTGCCAGTCAACTTTGATGAGGGTCCGTTAATGAATATCATTGGTGTTCAGCCACGTCCATTTCCAGTAATAGATCCCCAGGCTAAGATTACCCTACTTTTACTTGGACTATTACACAAATAGGGTTTTAAAATGGTGGCCTCTGCTGCGATTACGTGCCCACGAAGCCTAGAGTCCCACTTTGCGTATTGTACTTGAAAGCATTTTACAGTTCTGATGGCTTTCCCGATGCTTAATGTTGGCTGCCAGGAACAACCTTGATTTTTTTTACGAGGGGCATCTGTTTGTGCATCGATTTTGGCTTGTTTTGTCGCCTTAGGAATTAATCTTGTTCCTCGCAACACTTACGTAGCGATTAATCCACACTGCATGGTTACAAGTGAAGATCAGCCACTGTTTGCAGATCACTAAGAGTTGTTCAAGGTAAAAAATTGCTTGGTTCTCTCATTTTGACATTTGGCAACCTTTTGGTGATCATGCAATTTTGGCCAAAGGTCCTTGATAGTGTGAGAACACCTTTATTCACCAACGCAGCACCAAACCTGTTGCTGTTGACAACACAACATCCTTGACAGAACATGTGTTCATGACATGTATTACGGTATTATTGTGTCCTGGTTTGCAAAGTAATGATTTATGATAGTCCTGTGCAAAGAACGAAAGAAAGAGGTCAACAACCAGTGATAAATTATTGTACATTATGTATATTAAGAAGAGATGTCAACTTATGGGGTCAGACCGCCCCTAGATTAAAGTGTGAATGATTGTTTAACTCTTTTACACTGGCAATAAAACTACTTGAACCAGCATTACACTGTCTACGACCTAGGGCCAAATTTCTTGATTACCAGAAGGTCACTGAATTTCAAAATTGTCAGAGAGTCAAGTATATTTTTGCCCCAAAAACTGCAAACACTGGCTGATCCCTAGAAAACTTAGTGATGAAGAGGACACCGGCAATATTGATGCCGAAACTGTCAGCTCGCAGACCTGTTGGCCATGCTGTTTTCCTGCTTTGTCATCGGCTTTAGAAGATCAACATGTCAACGTGGGCAATTACATCCAAAGAATTGATCATGATTTGATTGACCTGACCCTACAAAGTTCATTGAACTATGAATCAATCAATGATGTTTACCAATTTCTAACATGATTTCATTATATTACAAAGTCAGCGAATGGGGCCTGGAGCTCGTTTTTCAGCTTACACCTTAGTTCTGCAGCCATTATCTAGGCTAAAAAATTTTATTGGTGCACCGTGCGTCCGTGATTTAAAATGTAGTCGCACTGTCAAAATTCTGGGCGCATGTGCAACCAAATCAGTGGCACTCACGAGCCCTGTAAATGCACAAAATATTCATAAAAGTGACAAAAGATGAAACTACTACTAGCAGCTGTCAGAAGAAGAAGAAGAAGAAGATGATAAAATATATTTTTAGAACTTGAAGTTCTATTCTTATTTTACTAGCTTCTAAAAAGTGATTGCAACATAACTGCTGGTTTGAATTTAGTGGAGTGAGTAATTGATCACACTAGACAAGGAAAATACATAACGTCTGTAAAACAAATGCTGTTTACCTGCTTTAGATAATCCCTGCTGGTGTATTGTCATAAAATCTAATCCCAAATGGCATGCCTGTGGGTAGGGATGAAGCTGGAATTGACGTTTTCGAGAACACTGATTATGTAGGGATCAATACAAGGTCCTTCTGATGGAGTGTGGAGGCCTTGATGGTAGGACAGTTGCTACCACAGGATATAAACATTTAATTTTCTGCATCAATCATAATGAGCTGGTAAGTGAAATCCGATAGAGTTTTATCGCAGGCTTTTTACTACCACAGTGTCAGCACTTTTTGTTGCTACGTTTCTGTTAAATCTCCAAAATAGGTAAGAAAGGCACCAGACAGAGAGTGTTTAAAAGTCCTAACTTGTGATTTAAGTCTATACATTTTGTCCTTTTACCTATCATCATCATTGTCGCCACCCTGACGCTTGCAAACGATAGGTTGTCCTGGGGGGGAAAAAATAAAACCATCCTTCACAGTCTATGCAAAATGTATTCATAGCAAATTGTATTCATCATAAGTAGGAAAAAGCGTTTACTTGTCTGGATTCAGTTTCAAATAAAAAAAAGTGGTGTCAGAATCGGAGACTCTGGTACGGTCATTGACCTCACTTTTTTTCAGAGTATTTAGCCTTGTCCCAGAAACGGTAACTGATCCTAATACTGGAAGTCTGGTGTGATCTATGTTTCCTGTGTAGGAGGCTTGGCATGTGGGTGATATGAATCAAATTTAACTTTGAAGGATATTGAATGATGTGCTTAAAGCTTCCTGTCTTTGTAGGATTTCCATATATAGAAGTGAAAGAGGAAGGTACAGATAGATCAGGTTGCTGCATATTCAAATTCTCAAAGAAAGCAATTAAGACGTGTTCTTATTTGAAAGTGGTAAAACATTGATTTATTTGCTTGACCTGGAGATGCAAGTAGGAGTGATTATTGAGTTTGATGTTATCAGTTTATCTGGGTTTGAGTAATGGATCAAAAGTTGTTTAGTAGAAGTTATCAGAGTATTTGAACAATTTGGAAGAATTTGATAATCATTAACAATACAAAGACATCAGTGACTTTTGAAATACATGTATTGTTTTCATTTGAGCTGTTCATACAAGAAACTTTGTTTAACTTAAAACTTAATACTTTTGAAAAGTTGAATGGTTGTGATATGGTGGAATTAAGTATGGAACTTGTATGAATGTGGAGATGATGCTGATTTGCTGAAGAATGTATAAACTTGAGTATGTCAAAGTTTATGCATGGAAAGGCTTTGCTGATTGTAAAGAGATGTTGCTTTTAAGAGAGCATGGCAGAGGTTTAAATGCCGTCATCTATTCAGATCATTTTAAAGTCAAAAGTAAACAGATACACTTATGTTTGCATGTCTTTATTCATTGATAATTCTTTTGAGTTGCACTTGCACTGATATACTTGAAGTTTGCTGCATTGCAGCCAACCGATGATGATGATGATGATGATGAGTATATAGATCAGTACGTAATAAAAAATGCTGACCGTGTTGCTATATTTCCCCTGTCATAGTGGAGCAAAGTGAAATGGCGATGCCAGGCCAGTTGGAGGAACTGAAACAGAAACAGAAACATCAGGACGACCGAGTGGAGCTACTCAGTACAGGTGATACCGGGCTGAGCGTCGCCAACAAACACCTGGCACAGCTGGATAAACAGGTGAGCTCTGCACCTGGTCACCTGTCAGTGTTAGAAATACCCACCTGTAGTCTGCATTTTGCAGACATTTTCAGAAGAAAAAAATTAAGCAACCTGCAATTTTGCAGACTGCAGGTGGGTATTTCTAACACATGGCAGCTTCATTTGCTAATATAAGAGGCTGAACTGCGAATCACATCTTCCCATCTTGCGATTTGCAGCACTGTCATGACTTTTCGATCATAGTTACAGGAAGCGTTTTTTCTTTTCTGGGAACAGGCCAAAATCAATCCACGCATGGATGTCATCCATAAAAATTACTTGGTGTGGCCCTATATTATCATTAGTATAATCATTCAATTTGAAAAAAATAGGAATTGCTTGAAAAGGAAAAATGTTTCCTGCCTGCCCTGTCTTGAATTTCTCAAGGAAATTTTAAAGATCATTGAATGTGACAAGGCAAGGACAGTGAGCAATATTTTATGAATTGTATCAGCTTTGTATTTCCTGAAACTACGTGGGCATGGAAATTTAAGACAACTTTTGCTGACCTCTAGACAGAAAATGATCTTATGTTTCTACGCCCACGAAATTTCAGGAAATACAAAGCTGATATAAGATATTGCTGTTCTGTTGCTAATGAGCTATTTTATAGATTGAGATAGCAATATTTTAGATGTCCCAGGTGTGTAGTAATTATAGAAATTAGTCTGACCCACATGTTACCTACATGCACTAGTTAGCATGACTTAATCATTTGTTTTTACGTGATTAAAACAATGGTGTTACTGTTATAATACTGTTAGTAACACTGTTACTAACACTGTCAGTAGTTATACTGTTACTAACACTGAGTAATGAGAAAGAAGACATATCAGTCTGTTATGTCCCCAAATTTCTTCTCTTATTGACAAGAGTGATGGGAAAAGAATATTACCTCAAACCATGAAATTGTAATCAATCTTAACCTCCCATCTATATGACGATGATTAGATCATTACACTGCAGTATACTTGCAGAAATACCACCTGCAGGTATTTTTTATGTCTACCTGCACCTAACCTGCCCATATGAAACCAGCTTCCCAACAAATTGTTGCCCAACTTTTTTTTTAATATCTCACAGAAGCAACCAGTAGTTTGACTGGATATGAAGAAAGTAGATGTTGTAAAATTTGTATTAGAGACTGGTCTAATCCACAGTATTGATTGCAGATTGCAAAGCTGAACAAGACCACTCTCAGCATAAGTGCAAGTGTGTCCTCCTCACAGAAGCTGGTGGCTTTACCAACAACAGTTGAAGACCTGTCAAAGGTACAGTCATGTAATCTCCATAATGTAACAAAATGATGATTTTCTTGAAAAACACCATCAAACAATAGAAATTTAGACGGTCAATAGTAATTTTTTGCTTTAGAAGTAGATTAATGTTACTTCTTTCTGACACGCTTAAGTCGCAATTGATGGTGTTTTTTTTTAACATTAGCCCCAAAACATGCTGAGCCTTTGAATTCCTTTTGATGACTGTTAAGCCAAAGTGATCAACCCGCTATTGCCGGAGACCTATTACCCTATTTTCAAGCAAGCAGCCAAAATGGATGACTCCATTATATAGTCTATATTGCGATCGCTGAAGACAAATCGATGCACAGGTGACTAGCACTGTATGACCCGAAATGTTGTCAGGTCATTCCTCTGTCCTCAAGATTACTGCTGGAATTCTTAAACCTGCACTTGGGACTTGTGTAGTTTTACTTGATGAACTAAATTATTTTATTTTAGTGTTTTAATTAGTACCTATAGCATTTTTTTTCCCGTTGTACAATGTATAACTGCAAATTAATTTGATTTCGTTGCACCTAAATTCCATTGCATATGGTTCGTGGTGTCTGCATTTGAAACAATATTAGGAATGCATGATGGCTTTTTTTTTCACATTTTTCCAGATATTGAAGATGAAATGATATTTTCCGTCTGTCAGATTTCTGTTGTTTTTTCTGTCAAAGCTAAGACACAAAGAAATTTTGCTGTCTTCACAGGAAAATTTGTGTTCTCCAATTGCTTCAGATTATGCAAAGTAGCTTCCAGTCCATCAAAATCAAGCCTTTTTCCTTCTTTATAATTCAAAGGCCTGGCTATTGCCAATTGAGTGTGGAATTAGTATTAGGTAAATTGTCCACACTTCATTGACTACCTCATTCTTTAAGTCATTATTGACTCAGGATCATCAGATCTTTCTTAGCTCATTTTCCAACACAGCCTTCGATTCTCTTTCAAGACTGCATCTCAAAGAGAGGGAAAGACTTGATATGCATCCCCCATAGACACTTCAGTGTAGTTAGCAAAAAAACTTTCATCGCTAGTTCAAAAGATCTAAAGGTTGGGAGATCTGACGTGCTTGTATACGATTGTATTTAAAGTCAAAGGTCTGTATTGATCCACGCATTATTAACCAATGACCTATCATCATTTTGTAAAGGGAATCTTCGATCTAGAAGAGCCGAACTGATGGACAAAGATGAAAAATAGAGACTTATACAACAGAAGTGACAGAATGAGAGCACTGCTATATCTGATGATGAATTATTTTGTGGAAACAGCTCCTGTCTCCTGTCGTGGAGCCAACCTATATACGGTCACTCTTGTTTGAAATATGAATAATCAATCTGGCTTTAAGGTCCAAAGAATGGCCTGTTTTTCTGAGAGAGAAAAATCAATGTTGAATTATATAGTATATTACTTCTTCCTTGACCATTATTGACAAAAACAACACATCCCTCCAAAATTATGAATTCAGCAAGAATATCATTTGAAGAGACATCAGAAGGTGACTCAGACCTGTGCTATTGATTTCTTATGGAGTTGAATGTATTTCTTGTCAATATTAGACAAAGATTACTTCATGATCTATTATCTTTACCCGGAATAAATGCCCACTCAGCTCAACAATGGGGTGCCAAATGGCTCCTAATTTCTACCTGATTAGATCCATCAGTCCTGCAAGCGAGGTCAAATTGTAACTAGCCATTGGTCTACCTCAGCTTGCCATATGTATCTAGTTTTCTTAGCCCCCTCCTGGCTATGATATGCAACCAGATTTGAATGAAATGAAAAGAAAGTTATTAGGGATAGGGTCAGGAAAAGTTGAAAAATACTTTATCCTCTGGGAAAGTGATCTTGTTGTACATTTTATCTATATAGAAAGGAACTGAGCCAGCAGTAGTTCTAGCTTTAAAACTACATGTAATTTACACATATTGAATGGTTGTGACAACGTTCTGATGTTAAAGTCTGCTCAAACTATTTCTCAAGAAACTTGTGAATGCTGTAACATTGTAGAGCAATAGAAATGTGTTTTTCTTGTAGAGTTGTAAGGTAAATGCTAATTACCATCCACTGTGAGGTAAAGTGCTATTTGTGTAACAAAAATTCCTTCTTCAAATTCTCCTGGAAACTTCTTCCCCTTGCAGCAAATGGCTTCCATCGGTAGTGAGATTGAGTCCATGAAAGAAGAAATGGCAACAACAACAAGTACACAGAGGCAACTTCTACAGCAGGTGGACAATATGAGGGCAGAACTAGAACAAATAAAGGTATAATTTTTTTTTCTACAGCAATTACCCCAAGTTCCAACTAGAGTAAATTATTTGTCAATAGCAGATTTTTACAGGTGAAATATCTACAAAAGCTTATTTGAAGTTATAAAAAAAATCTGACATTGCGCACACACAAACTTTTGTATATGTGTAGACAAAGTTTTGTTGTATTACTCAATTTGGAAGTTCCTAGTGCCTAAAAGGATGTTAGGTGAGTAGAATACAGTTTTCAGCACCAAGGACAGATACAGTGCTGATGCAGTTGTAAAAGCTTTTGAATTCCTTTTTTCTTTCAATAGATTTGCAGGGTGGTGCTTGTATATAAGGGCTCTTGGAACATCAAAGAATTACTATTTCACTACAGCCTTCAGAGCTGCAATCTAAATAAGGTCAAGCCTTTGAGGTTTTATATTGCACCCAAGCCATACCCAATTTTTCACAAGAGGTTTAGATCATATTCAAGGAGCAAAATCAAGTTTACAAATTAGATTTCTCCCATCTTTTGAGTTCGAAACTCCGGAAATTAAGTCTCTTTAGGGAATAAAAGAGATCTGACATAGACCAAAAGTAGATTGAAGTAGTTGGCGTGATTTGCAAATGGACTGAGGTGTTTCAGCTCGAGTTTTCCAGGTACTCTTAAACCCCTTTCCATGGCTTATCTCCCAGGGTCCATACGACAACAAGGTGCATTGTGAAGATTTAAAATGCTCAAATGCAAAGTGCTAACAAACAGGCTTTCAGCCAGTCCTCTGGCCTTTCTCAGCTTGATTGCTGGACACCTTTGATTGCTGACATCAAACTTCCATGTGACTTAGGGTTTGCGTCATTTTGACTTGAGAAGGGTTAGAGGTCCCAAAACCAAGCTGATCAGCCCTTTATTTTTGTATGTGATTATTGTCACAGATGAACTTCTCTTCAAACATAGTACTGATGTTTAAACAACAGTGTGTGTGAAATCATTCAAATACTTCATGAAATGGTGTGTCTTTTCTGCAGAGAAACGAAGCTGTGACAGACGTCCCTTCAGCTGCAGCTGTAGCACCTGTACCCGGCGTCTCCCCGACCACCATGTCACCTGTCCAACAGCTGACAGCTGCTGCTGCGGCCACCAAGGCCCGCGCTGAGCTCGGGGAGACAGACAGCGGTGTGCTGAGCAGTTACGTGGAGAAGGTGGGAGATCTGTGGAACAATAGACCTGAAGCTTAACACACTGTTTTCCTTTTGTAAATGGAAGAGTGTAATAACTTATCTTGAAAGCTGTATCTAGTAGAAGTGATTATGAAGCAAGTTTAAGATGTAATTGCCAACACAGAAGAATTGGCTTTTCCTAGATTTCCAACTGGACGACTCCAGCCTTTGGTCTGGGTAATCAACCAAGACCAAATAATTGTTATTGTAACATTTTACAGGAGGTGGCCAGTCTAACAGCGATGGTGCACCAGCTGAATGACACCATACAAGCCTGTGTCAACACATATTCGGTAGGTCAATGCTGTCTTTTGTTTTTTACCTCAGCTATGCTCCTTATAGAAAGTTGCATTTTGAAGATTTTTTTTGCACAAAATTTATTTTTTTGAGCATACATAGTATTACATGCCACTATAGATAGACCAAAAGAATCAACTCTAAATCTATTGAAATTATTATGTAAATTTATCAAGGACTGGATTCTATACAATATTTTACCAGAATGCAAAATTTTACATGCATGTACAAAGACATACATGTATAGGGATGTCCAAGGAATATTTGCACTGACTATTCTTCTCACTACTCAATACAATCGAGACAATTCCAGTACCTTGTCTTGTAATTCTGGACCTTTAGATTTGGAATAAAATCACCATTACTTGACTTCCTATGTCCATTGTCTTCCACTCAAGGTTGTAACGGCAGAACTGAGGGCAAACATGAGTGTGCTGACCAATAGGGTGTCTGTTCTGGAGGCGGGCGGAGTCAGTGTAACGTCAGGGAACATCACCAGTTCTCCTGTGAACCTGCTCCAGTTGAGAGCTGACATGGACAAGTTGGTAAGGGTCAGCAGTTTGGTACATTCAGGGTATTGTAATGCTGAAGAGGTTTGGGCTTATTAGGCCACACTGATTTAATTTCATGGATGACATCCGCATACATATTGATTTTGGCCTGTTCTTAACAACAACAAAAAAAGATGACGTCCTCCGAGGCTTTTGCCTGGTGCCATCCTCCGTAGTCCATAGTAACCAGCAACAATAGGGATCTGGCCGTAACTATGAAGGATGGTACCCAGGCTGCCGACGCTCCATGGAACTCAGATCGGCATTTTTCTTTATTCTATAGCTGAAGGGTGTTGGAGGTGGAAACAGCACCTCAGGTCTTGGTGACAACAGTTTCAACAGCCTGATGGCACAGATCAGGAACATCACTGTGGCCATGGAGACACTGAAGGCACAGGTGGCACAGGTAAGCCCAGTTGTAAATATGTTTACCTTTGCAGAAGGAAAACATATTGTTTTTGCTATGTTTCTTGTACCTCTTCTTCTTCTCCAAACAAGTAAGGTCAATGACCTGAACCAGGAGTCTGTCACCATGGTAACTAGTGTTGGGTTACATCATGTTGCAATTTTATAGTAGGAGGGATTTAGACTTCTGTCACCATATATATGAATGTGTTTTAGTTTATTCCTTTGTTCAAATTTTTAAACATTGTAACTCAAGAAATGATGAATACATTTTATTCTGTTGTGCGTTTGTGGCACGTACAGATCAAATTTTGGGAACACTTTGAAGCCGTTTTTTTTTCTATTCTGGCTGGCTGAAAATTTTACTGTTACATAGTGTATTGTACTACAGCATCATCATAACTTAAAAATGGTGCAAATGTGATGTAGTTTAAAAGTTTGTCCTTCCTGTAGTGTGATTTCTGTCTGATACTAAAACATAGCTGCAGGGATTTGACATGTTCTGTCTGTGTAATGGCCCCAGAAGGTCTACCTTATTCTTTGTCTCACTGTTCAATCAGACTAACATAATGCAAAACCAATTTTAGAAACTGTACACTGTCAGTATAATCACGCAAGTATTGATCAAAATCATACTAGACTTAGTGTAAAATTGGCATTATGTTACATTGGCGACTCAGGGCCTAAATTGGTGGCTTTAGCAGACTCGATAAGAGCTAATCTGGCTAAGACAGTTCAGAAGCATTTTATAATTGTGTTTGGTAACTTTGAAGGTCAGGGTCAAAGAAGAAACTTTCTGTTCAAGTTTGTGTGTTGTAATGTTCACTGAGGCTAACATAAAGCTTCAGGCATACCTGACTAGACAGTCAGGGTGACTGTGTAATTATTGGACTTGGCTTGGCTTGTGTCCAGTATTGTGCCTGTAAGCAGCTTTTAGTTTCAGGATAAAGTTAGTTTCAGTCGATAGTACATTTTTTTAGGTGTAAAAATTCAGAACTTGCTCTTTAGCTTATCACCTTAAAGCACAACACACCAGTTTGTACATTAATTACAAAGTACACCAATAAAGATACGTTGTCTTATGTTTAAGTATAATTATGAAGACCTGAAAACTTGTATCATACAGTACGTGTAGTAATTCTGGCAAACTGATTAAAATGGCAGAGGTCCAAGAAAACTTCAACGTTCTCCTAATCAAGCAAAATGCAGTTATTACCAAACTTGAACTTGAAGTATTAATTACTCATCAAACCACTTCCATCATAAATCATATTCCAAACGGTGGACAGAAAATCAATGAAAACAATTCTTCAAGAAAACTTTTGATAAAAGTTTTGACACATAAAGACCAAATAACGCTTGATACATTGAAGGTCATAGAACTAGAGGTCACAGACCCCAATCTAAGAAACCTTGAAAACCCCTTATCCATCTTTTGGAAGCAACCTCTGACATGCCTGTGATCAGAGCTTTCTGAATGACAACACCAAAGCAGATGCGAAGAATAATGCATGAAGAAGTGGGAGGGAAATACAATTGCGGTCCTTTTTCCTTTCGTTAAGAGGCTTTGCATCTAACTGGCACAAGCTAGTAGTAATTAAAAGTGACACGACTGCTTAGTGTACATGTACTTGTAACTCTCAGTTTCATGGTTTTTATAACCTACATAAACTGTGTGAGATCTGCTGGTAATTACAATGTAATTGCAAAGCTTTCCACAGCCCTCGATAGTCCACTGTCCCTATTAATTCTTAATTTAGTTTTTAATGCTACATGTAGTATTATTATGCCATATCTGATTGTCCATCTTGTAAATATGATCAAAAGGTGCTTCCTGTCACCAAATACATCAGTCAGCCAACATGTACCTTATTTATTAATATTAGAATTGTGTGTAGCTACATGTAGCCTGTGCTGGATTGCTGGTGACATTTGATTTTGTAAGACAAGTTCAGGATGTTATAATTGCAGTATGGGAGTAAGAAGAATGGATGTTGGCCCATACCTTACCAGGACTTGAGTTAAGCTGACCTGTACCGAATTGTTGGTGACATGTCAATATGTAAGGCAAGTGTAGGATGTTGTAATTCCAGTATGTGAGTAAGAAGAATGGATGGAGGACTTAAAGGAGTTTGGGTAACAACACCCAAGTTCATGAGAAAGTTGCTGGAACGACAGTCTGACAATCCCGGACTCAGCTGGGATTACAGATAGTGGTTGACCTCTAGTGAAGGTCGACCTCCTGTGTCACAAGGGCTTTCAGTCTTGCCTCTCATAACATCACGCTGCAGATTTGTCTTGAAGCCAACATTTTTTTAGTGTTTCGGCAAGGCTAAAAGCATTTGTTTCAATCTTTTAAGTTGCCCTGGGTCATCTGATATAGATTGGATGGGCTACGTTAACAACTCTTGACTCTTGAGGCTCCGACAATTTTTGAGACTCTGGGAAACATTATTGTGTCCATACGAATGCTCTAAAGTTGATGACTTAAAAGCCAGGAAAAATGCACAATTGGAAGGAAGTTTGATCCCATGTTCATACAAAATCTTTCCTTCTATCTGTCCACTTTTCAGACCTTCAATCAAGCAATACTGGTTCATGCCAAGGGGGTTATAGTCAACACCTTGTTCATGATCATTTTTACTGAATAAAGAGACTCTTTTTTCACAACTAAATGTATTATTCAGCAAATTTGGGACCACATTGTAGATACCGTACCCTGTAACCATCTAGATATATAAATACTTTACGTAAATACTATAGCAGGGATTCCTGTGCTGTGCAATTCTGTGCAGTCAGAATTGCCCTGAGGAAGGTGACTCCTTACTCCTGTACAAACACTTGTCCACAGTCCCAAGCGGATGACCTGAACGACCTGAACAGCAACCTGCTGAGCAACAGGACAGTCAACTCATTACAGGGTATCCTGGCTAACGCAGCCAAGAAGTTCAAGGACGAGAACAGCGTGAGCCAGGAACAGTTCACAGAGCTGGAGGAGGCTATACACAACCTGTGGGAGGTGAGTATTATGGTCTGCTGCAGAATATTATGGTCTGTTGCAGAATGTTGTGGCCTTTTCTCTACCTGATACACGTAGGCCCAAGGCACTTACAGGGACTCTATCTGAAATCATTACTGTGACAATACTAAGTTTAACTTCAATGAGATTGACTAAAAACATTGACATAATTGTGTACTACATTTTCAGTACCATGGACAGCACAATAAAATTCACTATACTGATGACAATGGATAGGCTCCTGTAACTTAAATGTGATTAACTGAAAACATATAATAATGTCATAAACCTGCACTACATCTTCAGTACCAGGGACAGCATAAAACTGTCAGTAATGCCAATAAAATTCACTGTACTGATTACAATGGATAGACTCCTGTAACTTCAATGTGATTGATAGAAAACATATAATAGTGTCATAAACTTGCACTACATCTTCAGTACCATGGACAGCACAACACTGTTGGTAATGACATAAAGATTCCCCATACTGATGACAATGGATATACCACTACTACATGTACTTCTGATTCAATTGTTCTGAGATTGTATAACCTTCAGCCTGCTGAGGTAGACGTTTGGCACCAAACTTGTACTGGTTATGGTTTTACAGCAGTCAGAAGGTTGAATGATGGCTGTTAGTTTTCTGCAGATTACGTCCCAGCGCCTCTGGTTTAACTTTGATCTTGCTCATGTAGCCATGTGGAACCAAATTCGCATTGGTTATGTGGTTAGACGTCAGAAAAAGGATTAAATTACCATTATGATTTGTCAATGGAAGATCCTGAACAGGCCATGAAGGCTTTTTATCTTCTCCCCGCATATCCTCGTTTGTCATGCTCTCTTTTGCTAAGTTCATACTAATTTTACTACATGCTCGTTTTACTACTCATTATGTGCAAAATAAAACAAACAAACAAACAAAACATTGACTGATTTTCTGCAGATAACATCCCAGCACAGTAATGAGATGGTGGTGGTGAAGGCCCAGGTCTCCCAGCTACTGAGGACAGTACAGAACATTCTGGACACCATGGACGTGGAGCTTCTCAACTCCAGGAACATCACAGCAGGCAACAACACACTGGACATCGGGCCAGGTGAGTTCTATTATCTATCTCCATCAAAAAGCTGTGTTTGTTCAAAGTTAAAATGTCTGTTCCAACACAAGAGATTGTTCTCACCTAGAGCTTTTGAGCAGTCACAATATCTTGTGTTGGATCAAAACTTTTACCTTCAAACATGTAACTAACATGTAACTAACATGTAACTAACATGTAACTAACATGTAACTAACATGTAACTAACATGTAACTAACATGTAACTACCAAGACTGACTTTCTGATTTTGTTGTATCACACTTCTAGAGGATAGTTGTAGATAAAGACTATCATTTAGGTACAAAAAACGTACATATATCTCTATAAACGCATTAAAGTAAGCAATTCTTCTGAAATTATACAATTTATGATAAATACACATGATTGTTTTAAAGTGCTTTATATGTAACAGTTACTATAAACATAAGATCGGGGGGTGAGAAAATCTCCTTAGGTATGGTGAGGTGGAGGAAAATAAAAAGGCTCTGGTAGTATGTAGATGGATGGCATTACCTATTATCTATCCACAGATGTAGGTTTTGAGGATGTTGAGACTCCAATTGGTGTAGAATCGACGACAGTTGTAGCGCCGGCGATGAACCTAGAACTGACAGAATGCCAGAGGGAAAACTTAGAGGCAGTGGAAAGCGATCTGTATGGGATATACATCCCCCAGTGTACGGAGGATGGGCGCTACCTGCCTCTCCAATGCGACCCCAGTAGTGGGTACTGCTGGTGTGTGGATCAGTATGGACTGGAGATAGAAGGCACCAATCTGGGCAGGGGCATGTTGCCCAACTGTGAAGGTGAAACTATGCAAAAACAGACACCTTGATCGGATTTTTTTCTGTCAAATTTTGCAACCACACTGTCAAAATCTTCCTAAATTACTGGCTAAATACAGTGTATGCTCCCTGAGCTACCTCACTGTTAAAACTGTCAAAATCTTCTCAAATTTCTGTCTAAATTTGCTGCCTGAGCTGCCTCACTGTTAAAACTGCCAGAATCTTCTCAAATTTGTATCTAAATTTGCTGCCTCAAAAATTTCACTTGCAATACTGTCAAAATTTTCTCACACAATTTGCTAAAACATGTCACTTTCTTAATAACCTGTCAATTTGAAATTATTCTGTCTCTAATGAATAATGCTGCTTCATCAGGCTATTATGCAATGCACTTCTTTTAATCAACAGTATGATTCAAATGCTTCTTTTCATCTAGCAGTTACATGGTCTGAAATAAGTCTTCTTTCATTCAGTCTCCAGCTGTATCCTAATGACATTACCCACGACAATCTTTAATCATTGTGGGAAGAATGGCAATGACTTGACGACAACATAATCAGAGCGTGACTTGATCAAAACATAATCAGAGCATGACGCCCTGATAAAGTTAATTTATTGTGTTTGAGGTCAAAAATTACCTGCCACGTAAACTCTAGTTTCGTGCTTCAGTTGGCATATGCATTGTATATGGCCTTTGTCAGTGTCATTTATAACCATTAGCCATTTATCTACACATGTAGGGTTAAGACCTTTATAATTCACACTGGTATGCTCTGTTTTTAGTGAGGAGTGCTTTATGTGAAGTCTCTTTCATTTCTCTTTACCTTCTCATTTCTCATTTCTTTTCTCATTATGTATCTTTAAAGGTGTATTATATCAATAGTTGTTATGACCCAGACACATCACTAAAACTACTCAAAAACTGCTATCAATCTTGAAATATTTGCGCTGTTAATATTTTCTGTCAGTAAAGCTCACTGTGTGCTTGACGCAAACTTTAAGGAGAGTAAAATTGCTTAAGTTGAAATTAATGTGTAACTTACTTTATATAGAGGGGGAGGGTGCAAACACAGTAACTTACTGTCTATTCCAAGAAAAAGGTGAAAGCTGCAAGATAGCGCTCATGAAAATTGTAATATACTAATATGATCTGGTCAGGCCCCCCACCCCTATCTATTGCTCTTTCTCCCAGTTTTGCATTCTGATGGCTTTCCTGGAGACTTGCCATGTATGATTATGACCGTATGTCACCAATGTTCATGTCAGTGGGCTTTGATGTAATGTAGGAATGACCTGATGACCCAAAGGGTCCGAAGGAAAGGTTATTGCAAATTAAAGTCTGAGCATTTTTGGCTGACATGCTTTGGAGGCGTGTTACGACCAAGCCCTGGCACACTTACTTGCCAATTAGAAGCTGGTGCCAGCTGCCTCCGTAGAGTTTAAAAGGGCAAAGTTTGCCATATCCACATTATGGACAATAATGGTCGTGGTAAGTTATACTTAGCCAATAACTTGTACTACAACACAATGGCCAAACTCCTACTTACATGTAGCTCTGTCTTGCAGGCAAAAACCATGAAGTGTTTTTTTTTACCTTCAATTTTACTTCATACACTGACCTGTTAAAAATCCTTTGATCATGCACTTTTTGTCAATTTAAAAACGGTTATCTACTGAGTGGAAAATGCACCAATTTTCCAAATTAGTCCCTACTGGATTGGTCCTTTAATAAATCAGACCCCCTATACACAACCCATTGCCCCGACAGCCTTAACAAGGCTATGGAACCTTACCTTACCCATTGAGTGGAAAATGCACCAATTTTACCAATTAGTCCCTGCTGGATCAGTCCTTTAATTAATCCAAGTCCTGCTGCTCACCTTTTTGCAGTCCAAATGCACTTCAAAGCTATCCTCTGTGTCGGTATTAAAAAGGAATCGTTGAAGATTACATGTAACTGTAATTGGCATCAGATGTCACCAAATCGTGTGACATGCTCACTTTTTTCATAGCAGGAGGTACATTTGTACATCAATGGAATGTATATTCTAGAAAGCAATTTCAATAGAAGACAATTATTTTTGGATGAATTATTCAAATTCTCTTTTAAGTGAGTGAAGATGTCACTTGTGGGAGTAAATTAGCGCAAATCTTGTTATCTAAACAAAGTCGATTCTTTGCTCTAAATACTCCACTTACTCTGGTTTGTGATCTTGTTGTTTTTGCTATAACCTACTTCAGTGAAGCAGAGCTGCCTTTTTTTACAAAGGCAGGAGAAAAGTAATTGTTCATTCAAATGAAATCAAATGACTATTTGAAGAAGGAAATTATTAGAACAGAATGATTTGAAGTACAACAAAGAGAAAAGTACTGGACAGGTATAACTTAGCACAGCTCTAACTAGTCTAACAAGGTCTAAACTGGGTGCCTTGCTTCTTGTTTTAAGCAACAATTTTGTCAAATCAAATTGCTACATGGACATTGAAAGAGAAGTTTCAATGTTCTTCATAGTACAACACAGACTAGAAAAGGACTTTAAATATTTTTCAGGTTTACTCTTAAACTAGATATAAACAGTGTGTTTCCATATGGTAAGGTAGCTTTGTGAGGAATCATACATGTACATGCAAATAGCCTGAGATTAGCACTGACTCTATCTTTCATACATCCATAAATGATAGATTAAAAGATGTGACAACAGCTGCTGTTGATGGATTTGCGTAGTTTTAAAAGACTTCTGAGGACAATCTGGAGTGGTCAAATCCTCAAAACCAGCCTATGATTTTCCCAAAAGTCAACCTAAAATGGTGGATCAAGAAAGTTTACTTTCTTTGATCTGTTAATCAGTACAAAGCGAGCGAGCATGGTAATCAATACAAATATAAGTTCAGGGATTCGTCGATTAAGTTTAGACATCCAGGTAATAAGATACGCCAAAAAGCAGTTACTCAAGCAACTGGATATGATTTTGGAAACGGTCAGACGTTTCAGCTAGTATCCACTAGCTAGTTTTGTTAGCTGTTTTGTTAGCTGTAGTCATGTTAGCTGCCCACTTCAGTGACAAACTGCCTTCTCCATTGTGGCAGCTGATTGTCATAGAAATGGGCAGAAATGTAACCCAACATTGGAGATTACAAGGCCAGCTACATGTATGCTTTGAATTTTTTCTTTAGTTCTCAGAAACTCTCAAAAATGAGCTTCTCTGAAGTCTTTATACTGTCCTTTCTTTTTGCAGTACTATGTCCTAGTCTGTATGCGATAATGACTTACACAAGTTACAGAGACTGATTAGCTCATGTAATGTGTACTTTTGTCCTGCAGATTACGGTGCGGAGGTCGTGACGTCCCCTTCAGCCTCCATCCAGTCCCTGCTCAGCTCCACCAAGGCCATCCTGGACGGGCTGGCGGCCACCAAACCGGCGCAGGCCAACAAAACCGACGTCGCTCAAATCCTGCTGAACGGTACTCTCGCCACCCCCGTCAATGTCACTGTGTCCTTCAATGTCACCGAACTAGACGTCGCGTTGCATGATGGGAATGGCACAAACACAACAGCTGTCATGAGTGTGGAGGGTGAATTGCATGATGGGAATGAAACATTGCATGGTGGGAATTCAGCCTTAAATGAAACAGAGGCTGTTGGGAATGCCACAGGTACTAATATGTGTTTCATTTTGTTCAAGTTCTTAATATTAAACAAAATGTTGTACTTAACTTTCAGTAATATTCCTACATGTAGGTCTACTAGCATTGTATATCACTTGTCACAAGGCATTGGCCTTAAAAACAATGTTCACCACCAGATCCTAACATAGACATCTGTACTCCCACTAACTTAGTTCTGTGCCCAGAAGGCTTTGCAGCGAGCAAACTCTTCTAAACTCTTCAAAAAAATTGTCTGATACAGAATCAGTACTTGATTAGAGGTCAGCGAGGGTAATTATCTAACCTCCTTTTCAGCTTTTCTCATATTTTTCACCCGTACTGAAGTCAAAGGTCACAGATTCCTAAGGGCTATTTGATTAATGTTTCAGAACGTGCAGTAATACATATAAATCAAACTGAATAAACGGACTTTAAAGAGTATAGCATCTGCTATTAGTTCTTCAGTGACTGAGAAATTGACCATTGTCCATTTCTTCACTGACCATCCTCAGTCACTGATGAAAGATAGCAGAGGCTATCTGAAACATCTGACCCTTCTGAGAATTTTGTGGATGTCTATTACTCACAGTATAACCTTCATCAATGTGAACCTTCGCCAGAAGGTGCATTCAGTGTTTTTGACTCTCCATTTCTCTGTCCTTTTGAGTCGTAGTTCAACACTATATTGAAGTTAAACCAACCCAAGTCTAGGCTATCCCCCATAAATATACTCATGGAACAATCCTGACTTTGGGTTTTATTGTGGTGAATGCTTTTGGGGTCCAACTTCATGGGGCAGTTGAAATTAAAGGGTAGTCAAGCAATCTGTAGAATGCAAATGAGAAAGTTGTTGATTTAGTAGTAGAAAGTTTATGTTATATTACTACTACCAGCAAATGTTTGTCCAAGTCATGTACATGTATATCTAATTAGATTATGTTGTATTGTATGACATCTTCTTTGTTTTCCCCTCTAGAGCCTACTGTAGTGATGGAGGTGACGACTGAGTGGCCCCATCTCCCCCCTATGAAAGGATACGAAACACCACATGGTACGACCCTTCTTTTACAACCTGAATTCTCTAAACACCCAGACGCAATTTTGTGACCATCTTTCATTTTTCAACAGTTGCCTAACTATCAAATAATTCTGACTTTTTGCTTTGACAAATCAGCAACTTCCTGATTTGTAGCAACTTTTTGCCAGGATGCTTGTGTAAAGAGATTATAGTTGACTACAACAAATTTATTCTCCATGACATTCATTAAGAGCAGTGAGTCTAAGGCCAAGTTGCCATCAGCAAAAACATTCACAGTAAATAAATGAAAGAGGACTTTTATTGCACAATGTATACCCACTTGGTTAAGTGCAGGTCACAAGAAAATATACATTATACATTGACATTGTTCAGCTAGCCCCAGCACTATTAATGACTTTCAAACTTGTCTGGTCTTCATCGTTCAGCTTTGGAGATAGGATTCTTTCGCTGGGACGTCAACGGGGACGGGCACGTGAATTATGAAGACATGGCCGACTTCCTGGGTCCTAAGCTGCCACTCAGGGAAGACCTGATGGCCTTTGACGCAGATGGAAATGGACAGCTTGAGCTCCCAGAGTTCTACAGGGCTTTTGGCTTCCATGAAAAGGTGGGAGATAGGATTTGGGCTTAACCCTTCTCCTGCTGTATACTCACCGTGCATTCTGACTTGTATTGGTTATAGCAGATGTTGCCTTTAGGGGTTATGTGCTTCATTGACTGTTTGTATGTTTGTCAGCTTGAAGGGTGAATGAAATCTTACTGACCATTTCACTTGACAGTGGGAATACCTGTATCAGTCCAGTGGGAAGGAAGATTGATTTTACAACATATTGGATTGAATAAAGAGAACAAATAGCTTTACCCTCCTTCAGGTCAAAGAAACATGCTTTGGAAACATCTTTAGAACTGATACATTTGTAACAGTATTTGTACAGGGCATGTAACGTGCATTTGGAGACATATGGAGAAAGTTTACCATATCCTGTGTATTGACTCATCAGTACACATTAAGCCATATTTCTGTTCATTTGACTCTCCTTTAGATGAGATATTTCATTCATTGCTGTTGGCTTAGTGAAAAGTTTCAACCATTCACAAAAAAAGTCCTAGTATTATTCATGATCATTTGCTGTATGAATGGTTATGTGGTACAATGTATATAATACCTTAAGTTTGTTCTTGTCACTACTCGTGTGCCCTTTCAAACAGTAGAATTTCAAAATGACATTTAGCCCCAGAGTCCTTGGAGGAAGTCACCTAAGGCCTCACCTTGTCCCATCCTTGTCTCAAAGGTCAGGGACTATGGATACATGCAGCATCAGTCTCCTCCACTAAGCCTTCACAAAGTATGCCAATGTAGTCAGCAGAGAGACATAAACCCTTAAAGTCTCCCAAGATGTGCAGTGCTTAGTCTACTTCTTTCTATGGCAGAAGAATAATCCACAGAAAATGAGAAGGAAAGGCCTTATCGCCGAATTGAAGGCTTACTTCCAGCTCTAAATGGTACTGAGGATTTCCCTTCTGGGATCCTGAGCCCCTGCTATGATGGAAAACTGAATAAACGTCTTTCTTATCAGTACTCACATCACAGTTTAACTGGCCCGCCGCTGCTCCTTACAAAAGTAGGGCATGATCCGGTACAGTGGTAAAGCTCAACTGTGGTCCCGCTGGGGGGATGTATGGAGTTGTGTGACCCATGTTTGAGGAGAGCTACATGTACTTTTCCAGTACATGAAGAAAACGGGTAGTGAGTCAGTGAGTTGAATTCTCAGAGTTTTGCAGATTGGTGCAGCAGGCAGATGAAAAATAAAAATGGAAATAAAACAGGAATTCTATCTTTGATACACTCATGGAACAAAATTGTAACCTAAATGCTTAAAGTTAAATAATTATGTTTCCATAAAATGTTATTGATAAACAACTAGAAGGCATGGATTTTCCACAACTGTTACAAAAGCAACATGTATATAGGACATTTTGGGGTTGATTCATGCATACAATGGTGATTTTTTTTTCAAATCAGAATAGAAGTTCTTCGTTCACAACAACCTCTTTAACAACAGCCAATGTGTCATTGACTATCTGTCATCTTCATCAGGGCAATTATGACTGGTTTACTGTGCACTGAAGCTAGGTGTTACTGGTTCAATGTGCACTGAAGATACATACGAGTGGTTCTGAATGAAGAATTTTACTATAAATTCAGTCATCCACCAACCCAATGGAATTATTCACAGATGAATTGGGCCAATCTGAGATTAAAGACAGCACAAGCCAAATCTTCTGTTGGAAGTCAGGAAGGCAGAAAACTGGCTACATCATCCCCCATGGGACCAATTATCTACATGTAATTACCATGGTGGGTAATCAAACGCTGGATCATCAAACATTCCTGATACAGAACCTTTGGGTTTTCATTATTTTTCTTGATTAGACAGCTGAAAAAAATCCCCTGAAAGTAAATGAGTACTAAGCCTTAAATTAAGACAAGACTTAATTGCAATTTCTCTATGACAGAACTCTCCTCACACTACTGTAAATCGTGATTTTTGTTTGCGGTACTTTTATATCCGCAATTTTTGCAGTCACTTCGAACAGTACCACGAACTGAACATCTCTGGCTTTCTTTTTTCTGCACCTGCCGCCACCGCGAACATATAGTTCCGTGAGCATGTCCATTTTTCTCAAACCGTGAACATAAAGTGATCCACAGTGTCCACCTCATATATATGATGCTGCATATGGATTGTTTGAAAATGAGAACCCCCAAATGTCCATGAATAGTTAAAGTAAGAAAACCACACTCTAATCCCTTTGCAGTAGATTACAGTACATGTATTACCCCATGTATACATTCATTAATGTTGTGAGACAGTGTCTTCAGTGGGTTAGTGGGTCACTTCAAAAGTAATATGGTGTTGATATTTAAGAAGGCTTAGTAGACCTCCCTCTTTCCCTGCCTTCAAGAAGTATATAAGATAGATCAATAAAATTAAATGATTGATCATGTTGTCAACATACCCATTAGATGAAATTGTCTGATATCCTGAATTGTCTCCAAAGAGTCTAACAGATTGAGAGAAATATAGGATATCAGTCATTGTGTGACGTATGGTTATCATTGAAGCTTAGTTTGGTACTTCCTATGGCCATTATTACATGGAATAATCAATTGCACGCTGTCAATTTAAATTCTATATTGATACAGATAAAGTTCTGGTAAAAATAAAGTAACAATTCTTGGGGAGAGGAGTCACCCGTGAAAGGTCTTTTGACTAACTCAGTGGTAGTGGGGTCGTATGGCGTAAACAGTAGCGAGTTCGGCTCAGGACCAAGAGGTCCCGTTTTCGAATCCTTCCCATGTTACCTTGGGTAAGGCACTTTACATGACCTTCCTCACTTCACTCAGGTGGAAATGAGTGGTACAAACCTTACAGTCTGGTACTACGCAGCTTGTACTTAACATGTACAAAACTGATGTGTTATGTGATATGTGAACCAAACAAACAAATAAACAAACTTAGCCATAGCATAGCATATTACTCCTGATTGACAGCTGTCGTTCCTTCTCCTCCAGCCCATGCACATTCCCACAGAAGATGAGGAGATGGCAGAGAACTCTGATGAAGCTGAAAACCTCCCTCCTGTCCTGGCAGGTAAAAGAGCAAGTACAGATGGTGGTAGGTGTTTCTGGGGCTCTGCACTCCTCTCTCTTCACATGTCTTTCTTAGTGTGATTTCATCTTACTGCAATTAAAGTGGTTGTGTTGAAAGTTGAATGGGGAGAAAGACTGTTGAAAAATCATTGTAATATTGCAACTTAATGACACGGAAAGGTTGACAGCAAAAAGAAAATACAAAACTTGTGTGTAAAAAAGGCCATCATAAAGAAATCTCACAAATTGCCAAGCTATAGTAGTATTAAAGGACTGCACCAAGATTTACACACAGTATTCCTCCTGTCATGCTCCATCCTTCAATAACTTTTGTCTCACATTGTGCAATTATGTGCAATTGTGCACATTACTGTACTAGTAATATACTCTCTGCAGTTTTGTTTGATACTGGTGCTATAATCTGACCCTTTTCTTCTGCCTCTTCCCACCAGGCGAGACCAAGTGCACCCAGGACAGACTGGAGGCCAAAGCGAGTGGTCTGATTGGCCAGTACGTCCCGCAGTGTACGGAGGACGGGAGGTACCGCCCTCTGCAGTGCCACGCCAGTACTGGGTACTGCTGGTGTGTGGACGAGCTGGGAGAGACGATAGAAGGGACCAAGGCAGGCCGAGGGATGGTGCCCAGCTGTGACGAGTTTGTCGGTAACTACAGCTAGTGTTTTTTTCCAGATTATCAGCTTGCAAAATGTTCTACTTTTCTACGTGTCATTTTGCGTTACTTTTACCTAAATTTCAGGTGTAAGGAATGGTTCAGTTTTCATTTGTTTTATTTAAATAAAAGTGTAAAAACAAAACATTTTGTAAGGAAAGACCTGGTGCAGAATGGTTTTGTCCAGATTCATGATCACTGCATCCAGCAATGAAGAACTACAACAGTTACTACAAGGAGGTACTATTCACCCTAAAGTGGTTGACAATTGGACTGAAGTGACATTATTTTCCATTTGTTAGAAGCACAACAGGTTTGTTCAACAGTTGTAAAGTTGTAAAGTCGATCTCATCAACCTTGTGTTGGAAGTAAGCTCAAGCTTTACAACTATGGATTCTGCCAACACAGATGAGCTTTCATTGTAATACCATCGTTCTGGTTTTTGCAAGTGTTCACAAAGTGTCAATCAATCAATCAACCAATCAATCAATCAATCAACCAATCAATTGTTCCCCATGCACAGGCGAGCCCCTGCCCGTGCCCATAGAGGGAGACGGAGACGCGGACAGTGAGCAGGACATCAACAGCCTGTCCGACCTGCTCAAGGACTTCAAGAGGAGCCAACCAGATCCTTCCAACTAGGTACCGCCCCCCTCCCCCAACAACCAGAACCAAATATAGTCATCAAATCAGACAAGACGTTCTGTGCTTAGCTACGAAAGACTACATACGGTTGTAGCAAAGAACCAGTATTTTTCAACAGACAGAAATGTGAATCTGACACATTAAGACTCAAAATTAATTTGTGGATTTACCTTAGTTTTAATTTTTACTTGCAACATCATAAATTAGATTTTGAGGGTGGTAAATGAAAAACTAGTGGTGGCATCAGTTTATAACAAAACTATGTGTTTGGGCATTAAATTCAAATGAGATGTAAACTATGCATATCCTGATAGACTGTAACTTTACAAGTGTGTGTTAGACATCAGACTGATGGTTGTTTGCCTTACCTAAAACTAAAAAGTAAGTGTTACCAGGGTATTAGACATTTATGTTCTTTGTAGTACATAATGTATTCTTGATTAGATTCTTACTTGTGAAGGATGGATCAGGAAAGACAGATGTTTTAGAATTACATCTGTATAGTAATTTATAGAAGCAAGTTCGCAGAAGAAAGATACAGATTGTAAGAAATTATAAGTAGGACCAAGCACAATCACTATCATATGCTTTTTTTAGGACTGACTGTTAACTGATAGATTTTCACGAAAAACTCCCTCTTCCCTCTGCAAAGGAATGATGGTACATTCCTTGTCACTGTTTGGTGTGCTTTGGATGAACTGCATACTCATATAACAATGTTTTGTCCAAACATAAGTTTGTGATTTTATCAGAAATCGTTCTTATTGTCATAGAAGTCACTTTAAGGTTCTTATTGTCTGATATAATGAATTGTATCTCTGTATGTACATGTAGGCAAATGCTCTATAGCAACAGATTTGCACTAGCAACAAGGCACAGTAGAGGTAGTGTCTGTCTGTCTTTGGTAGATTTTGTGTAAGGACATGTAAGAACTATGCCACAGAATGAAAAAAAGAAAGTGACCCAGATTCAACTTTGCAACATATTCTATAGTAGAGATTGTGAGGAAGCATACATAGTGATTGTCAGCACCATGTAAAGTCAGCACAATGTATAGTCAGTAAAGTTGATCAGGAAAATGTCAAAGTACACCATGCTGTTATACATGTTTTTGGTGTAATGGATTTATATTCTTAAGATGATATTTCTGCTTGCTACTGTCAATACCTCTGTCGTTAAGGATAGGAAACATTTTACATGTATCTGAAAACAGCTAGATTGCTTGTTACATACCCCACCTCTTCTCTCTTTACTCCTGCTTTGCAAAGATGCCCGTGTATTAACAAAGGATAAAAATGTGAACCAACAGAGCACACACATGGAAACAAATGTATGATTTTACTCGTATCTTGTCTGCGTAATTACATGCATAACACACCTGTCCACACATTTTAGTAATAATTCCTGCTGCAATAATTATGCTAAGATGTATGCATTCAATGTACTTGGTATTGTGTAGGAATATTATGCATTATATGGTAACTTGCAACACATGGTTAATTCCCCCTCAGTATTGCTGCTTTTCTTGTGGTAAAAAAGTTTGATTATCTTTGAAGTGTAAATATCACTCCAGGCAGGCTTTACTAGTAAACTTCTGATTGTAAATATGCTTTGGAGTGGAAGTCTGTACCTTTGTAAGTAAACCGAAGAGTAGACAATCAGCAGATTTGCAAGTAGATGCCAGAAAAAAGTGTGAATAAAAGGGTAAAAGACAAGTGTTGTCAGATGTTTGACTGAGTGTTTCTTAATCTCAGTTTCACTATAGATAAAGGCTTCTGTTACAAACTGCCTCCCTAAGTTAGTTAGGCAGACGGTTTGTGACAGAAACCGGCACCTAGGAAAACGTCATGATGTAGCCTCCCAACATCTGCTTGGAGATAAGATACTGCTTTGAAATAGATATATAACATTCAAAAATGGTTATGTTCATGATAACACTGCAGTATGATGAATTATTGCATGTATTTGACAAACAGAACTAAACCCAAGTATATGAATGAAAATCAGTCTCGCAGTAGAATATTTTTCTAGCCTTAAGAAACGGGAACATTTCGTTACCTTGATTGTTTTACTCAAAGCCTACAGAAAATAATGAAGAGTTTATTGCAAATTCGTGCCCGGAGGCTAATTGCAAATTACAAAACATAAAAGAACAATGAAATAGAGTATAAAATTGGTTTTCGGCGTGTTAACACTTTTATAAGACACAATATGAAATATATGAAATATTCCTTAGAACTTGAAACCCCCGTACGAGCCTTTTGACATTCCCGAAACCCGGGGAGTGTGAGCCCCACTTTCGGTATGCAGCCCGGAATTAGGCTCTCTTGGGGTTTACGATATTTACTTCATCGATGCCAAAATTTCCAGAAAACGCTAGGTATTTTCAATACGTTTCAACAGTTCTGTCGTACATTTTCTATTGTCTACAAAAGCTACTGAAGAGAAGAGCCGTACATAGAAGTTTTATTTCGATTTATCAGTTTGGTGCCCACGGTAAAGGTTGGTAGAGGTATCCTTTTATCGATTTACTCTTACGAAGTTTCAAGCCTGGCATACGAAGGCGAATTGCATGGATCAAAAGCGCCTCTAGCAGTTGACTACAGAACTGCAGCACTGCTTGCTTAGCTCAAGGACATTCTCTGCATAATGTCCTTGCTAAGCTGATTCTATTATAGATATAGTGACATATTCTGGGCATCCCGAAACTGATGCAAGTGTGCGAAACTTAAAGGTGGGCAAAAAGTTGGCTTCATTATATATAAAAATCTTAAATTGTCGGGAAAGTCCAACGAATTTGACATCTACTAGCTAGAAGATGAAATTGCCGCAATGTCAAAGATTATTTGTTGGACCAAGGAGGTTAAATCTTACTTTTTGACTTAATCTCCTTGGTTGGAAAATTACTAAAGGTAGCTGTCCATCCTTGATTTAAAAGTTAAATGATGAGCAAAAGAACTATTAAAATTATTAAAAAAAACATAATGAGGTTTGTCTGGCCTGGATGAGCGGTGCTTATTGGTCTGTTGTGAATCTAATTACAACTTAATCACCGATTTAACTCAAATTTAGCTCATGATTAACAGGTGGCACAGGTCTGTGCGTCAAGCACGCCGTTTCAAGATGGCGAGTACGAGTGTGCATGGAGGGAAGAACGCGCTGGAAAAAATCGGCCCAGGAAGACGCGCCACGTCAGCTTTGGTGGTACGTTGTACTTAATATTGTCCTGAATACTCTCTGGTCCATTGTAGGTAATTACATTCTTGGATTCGAAAGAAGAAGAAAAAAGCACAGAGCTTTCAAAATTACTTGCGGCAACTATTCCCCGCCATTCAAATGCTGGGTAGCTGCGTACTAGTATCTCGTAGTTCTTTGCGCACACACCACAGTGGGACACTGATCGGCGTTACGATCAAAGAATTAAAGACCTTCGGTGCAATCCCAGGGCGGCAAAACTATTCTTTATCAAGAATCTACCAGATATTCACATTTACTGCCATTCTTTGGGAAATTTCGTTTCATAATTGAAGCGTTTCAAATAGCCCCCAAAGAGGCTACCGTAGGAGTCGACCCTTTTAAGTTTTTAGTATCTCCAGATGTTAAATCTAGAGCCAGCCTAGGATTGGAATCAAATGAAATCTTTTTTTTTTTGTCAGCGACATCGCATGTTTGCCTCAAAGTTATTAGTATGCTACATAAAAAGAATGACCAGAAAATTGACTTTGAAAAGTCTATTTTGCCGCCCGGAAATTGCATTGGATCCCTTAAATATGTACACCAGCCGGTTCGTTTTCTCAAAGTCTTGCTACTGAACTGAACTTGAGTACCGTTCTACAATATATGGTATAATGATGATAGCGTTGGTCTAATACGTTTAGAAGCTTACCAAAGAAATGTAAATATAGTAATATCACACCGGTGTTCAATCTAACTTAATTAGTTAATTGAGGAAATGCAAATTATGGTGATTCCTTATCAGGTGGTAAGACCACGCTGCTGCTCAGAGCAAGATGGCGAGTCACGGTGCTTGGACGGGGAAGAACTCGGTGGTTAAAATTCGTCTTTTAAGACGGGCTACATGCGTTTAAGGAGGTGAGTCGCATTTAAGATTGTCATTTATGTTCTCCTGACTATTTGGGCTCAACTCGTTGCAATGAAATGAAGCTAAAACACAGAATGGCGTGAATTATTTGCCGGTGACGATTCCCTGGGTTTAAACATGCACTTAGTAAAGCCGCCGTCGGGGGCGCTTTTTTCATGCCCGCTTTGAACCAAGTGAACATGACTGTACATTACATGTAGATACGCTCATTTTAGTCCTTGTATGAATGAAACAGTCAACTAACAAAATGTTTAATTTCTGAATGTTTCGAAATTTGTAGATGAGCCACCCGGTTACAAAATCATCATGAGTACAGATATTTAACAGCTGTTTTTTCGATGTCCTTCATGGTAGTTAATTTGCCTTTTACAGACCTTTATCTTATGTTAATTACCATGAACATGTTGTTTGTACCTTTTACTGTTTTATATGCATTATGTAAGCCATCCTTTCCCATAATACTCTGTCAATATGAGATGTGCTTGAATGTTGAACTGATGTTTGTATTTTTTGTGTGTGGTTGGTGACTGTTCTGAAGTATTTTATGTGAGATGTAACGTTACTTCATTGTAATTTTTCCATGGTCATGATACTCTGTTTACTTTTGATTAAGTGTTGACTGTAATTTTGCTCTGCTATTTCTTTTCCCCCACCCTGAATTTTCTGTAGCCCATTGCCGAAAGTAGGTTTTAGAACTTAAACAAATGATGTGAATATTCACCCCGACCAATCTAATCTGGACACTAATCTAATACTAAACTTACAGACCAAGAAAAAACTATTCTTCTTTTAACCTCCCAAAACCCAGTAATTTTAGAAAAGGTGGGACATTACGTCTTCCATGGCATGCGAAGTGTGAAAGTATTGAGGCCACAACTGCAATACTTAATACATGGAATTGATGGTAAGTTCAGCACCAAGGAGAGGTCCACACTAAGGCCGCACAACACAGTATTAATGGGCGAACCCCTCAAAAGTAGTCCGGGCACAAAGTAGTGCCGCACAATACTAGAGAAGGGTGCAGAGATTGTTTTGTGCATGGCATCGAGATGGAACCTGTGGTAAATGTTAGAGGAATACGTCAGTTTTGGGACTGTAAAAGTTGAATTATGGTGCGTGTTCAGTCGGCGTAGATTTGCGCTTGGATACTTGTCCCGCCGCTGTGCGTCGGCTGCAGCGCCATGACTTTGCTGTGGAGACTGGGAACGAAAATGGCGACTGCCATGGAAAAAGACTTGTTCTTGCTCAAATTAGCTCCTTGAATGTACATGTTTGAACTTCTAACAAACCTGTAGCAACAGACTACGTTATAATTCGTTTGTAGAAGTTTGCGTTTTAATTTAAAGGGTCGGACTACAAACCTCTCGGGCTCAACTCCCCCGTAGCGGTAATTTAGATAGGCGGTCGAAGGGCTCTTGGTTGCCGAAGGAAAACGGCTAACGGCTCGATACTAGTTTGGCATCCAGGGTATAAATATACAATGTCATGTTTGTACTTCCAACAAACCTGTAGCAACAGACCACGTTATAATTCGTCATTTGAACCGTTTTATTCTGCAGAAATTTGCGTTTTTTGGAACGATATGTTGCACCAAGGAGTTTCCATCTCCTTCATCGCACACAAATTATTGTGGGACATTTTGTATTGTGAGTATATTTAATATCAGGATTCCATTTGTTGTTGTTGTCTTGGCCTTTTTTGCTGGTATGTAAGAACAACAACACTGTTCATATTGTTCTAATCTAGGCAAATTTGTGATTTCTTCATATAGCAATTTGAAGAATGTTCAAACTTTTTGACCTTTCCAACTTTGAAAGTCAAAGTTTATTGCACAATGATTGCCACGGGTACAATGTATGGCAAATAATAAAGTTAGTATGGGTCTATATATATGGTCAGCAGTTACTGTGTCTGACAGAGTGTTATAACTACTGGCTAGAAACTGCCTATGCAGATCCAATAAGTAAGTTTTCTTCATATACTTAACATACTTTTCTATATTCACCTGTACCTGGTTGCTTGTTGCGTTGTACTGATTATCCCGTATCATGCATAGAATGGTGCATCCTGATGTTCCTGTCCTGACTGGTAGAAACCTGTGATGACGGGCGACTTCTTGAAGACACAGGGCAGTGAAGAGTTTGTACAGGTGAGACAATACTTCCAACGTTACATTTTTTCTCAGCTATGTTAAAACTCAGAGGCATAACACATGTACTACCAGTCGTCAAAAAAAATTCCCAAGTTTCTACAGCCATTCCAGCAAATGGAAGTTCCATTGATTTTATTGTTATGGTCAGTTAAAGTGTTGTCTTGAGATGCCCTTAGAACCATATACTAATGATCAGGATTCTTTCATATGGATAGGTGTGTCCTGATGTTCCTGTCCTGCCTGGGAGAAACTCGTGATGACAGAAGACTTTGGTCCAATGCAGACCAGATGACCCGAAGACACTGAGGGCAATGTCAGATGAAGATTTGAAGAATGCAGTTTTCCTTGGAGACACCGAGGGAGCCGAATAGTTTTCCCAAGTAAGCACAACTGTTAATAATGCCCACATTCTTGAGAAATGTAAACACTGAATCAATCAATCAAATGAATGAACAATTAGTTAATA